TGGATGGATGGATGGATGGATGGATGGATGGATGGGTAAGTGGATGGATGGATGGATGGATGGATGGATAAGTGGATGCCATGTTGGGCAGGGGGTGGTAGATGGATAGACAGATGGAGGAATGGTAAAGTCATGGTAGGTTGGATGGATGGATGAATTGGGGACAGGGTGTGTTTGTGGATTGGTGGGTGGATGAGTAGGGCACGTGTAGACCAGCAGATACTCACACCTGAATTATACCACCACACACAGTTAAGCCGTGAGTTCCCTCTCAGTCTCTTTACTAAATGCTTTTCTGTTTCATGGGCTATGCTTTGCTCTTTCTGAGACCAGCTGGAGAAGCAAGCCTCTGTGTGTGTGTGTGTGTGTGTGTGTGTGTGTGTGTGTGTGTGTGTGTAAATATTTTACAATCCCCATAAACTTTTTAAAAACAGGTGGGGGGTGAAAGTATAAACTCGGGCAGCCTTTGGGGAGGGTAGTTTGGAAGTGGCTATTAAAAATTTAAATGTGCCTACCACTAAGACCCAGCAGCCTCACTTTGAGCTGTCAAGGATGAGAAATGCCTTCACAGGCTTGTGCACAAAGCCGTGTACCTGGGTGTTGGTACAAGGCTGCTAATTGGTGTGTCACTCCTAATGGTAGCAGATTAAAAATAGTCACAAGATCCATGGAGCAGGGGATAAGTAAGGACCCCTAGAAAACTCTGGCCACCAAAGAGAACATGATAGATAGTCCAGGGGTGGACAGTTCTCAACTGGTGCTTGAGATGGGACACTGCAAGCTTTCAGGAGTCCTTGGGACTCAGTCATCTCAGCAAGTGTCCGCTTGTCCTAGCTCTTTGGTCAACGTTTCCTGTCCCTCTCCAGGAAGCACAGCCTGCTGGGATTACATCTTTCAATCTCATGCCTGCTTGTCAGTGACCTTCTTTTGGGAAAGAGACGAATGGGAGAGGAAAAGCAGTTACAGGCATAATTACTGTCTGCTGGCTCTTCAATTAAAAAGCACGAAAGGCACAATATTAAAATCTGATTTATAGGTGCCACTATCTGCCTAATAGTGTGGCCAGGAGCCAAAAAAGCACTGTAGTCATTACGGAAAAGCCAAGCCTTTTTTCTCCGGCAGCAGACAAATTGGCTCTCATTTTCTTCTTGCTGAAGGACAATGAATGAAATGTTTGTTGGCATCTACAGCGTGTTCTTCTACTGTGCTGAAAGCCAGAACTTCATAATCGGGGAGTAACTTAGGAGTTGTCTGGCTCAGTACCTCAGGGAAGTTTCCTGAGAGGCATGGTGGCGGGACATGGAGTTGGTGGCTGCCATAGGCCACCATGTATCAAGATACAGATTCTGGTGTTCTACCCCTCAGAGGAACACCATCTAGTCTTTGATGGGCCTGGGATGGCTAAGACCGCAGTGCTTAGGAGGGAGGGGAAGGAAGCATTGGGCATTTAGCTTCCAGTTTATTCATCTGTAAAGTGTGTGTGTGTGTGTGTGTGTGTGTGTGTATTATATGTCTCAGTGGTTGCATATAAGACATGTGTAGTGTATGTGTATAAAACATGTGTATGTATAAATGTGTGTGTGTGTGTGTTGTGTGTGTGTGTGTGTGTATGTACCCACCCAGGTGCACACCCAGGTATGCACACGTAGAGACCAGAGGTGGTCAGCTATCTTCCTCTACCGTTGTCTACCCTACTGTTTGAAGCAAGGTCTCTCATTGAACATGAAGCTTGCTGAGCCATCTAGACTGGCTGGCTGGGAGCTCCTAGATCTTCCTTTCTCTGATTTCCCAGGCTGGCATTGCAAACATACACTGCCGCACCTAGCTTTGACATGGACACGGGGGACTTGAACTCAGGTCTTCTTGCTTATAGAGCTTACAGAGGACACATTTTACCCACTGAGCCATCTCTCCAGGCCCTGCTCAGTGAGTTTCTTCAAGGTCATTGTTGCAGTTACAGGTTACCATTGGGAGAGCTGGAATTGAACCTATACTTGATATCTCCAGGGTGATAGCTGATGTGGGGTAGACCACAGGGGATTCCTCGATCTGCCTCTTTACTGCCAGAAAGGCCCCTGGGTGCCTTCTGAATCCTGTTCTGTTCATACTTAGCAGAGTTGCTCATTAGCAGAGGTGTTGTCAAGCTTACAGCTTTATAAACACGTGAACAGAACCAGCCCAGAATGTAAATCATAGATGGCAGTGGCCCACTCAATGAGATCTTTCTAAGAAGCTCAGTGGGGAGTGCTGCCTCCTTCAAGAAGGGAGCCATGGTTTAGGGTTGTCCACTCACCACAGTTAGGCAGCAGGTGCCTGCAGAATTTTCCATTCTTAGCTTTAAAAGTAAGATCTACAGCCGGGCGGTGGTGGCGCACGCCTTTAATCCCAGCACTTGGGAGGCAGAGGCAGGCGGATATCTGGATATCTGGATATCGGCAGCCTGGTCTACCGAGTGAGTTCCAGGACAGCCAGGGCTACACAGAGAAACCCTGTCTCGAAAAACCAAAAACAAAACAAACACAAAATAAGAGCTACAAAGCTGGGCATGAAGGCACATCCATATAATCAACCCCAGAGCTCCGGAGGCTGAGGCAGGAGGATCCTGAGTTGGAAGTCATTCTAGACAATGTAGCAAGACCCTAGCTCAAAAATGTCTGCAAAGAAAAACAACTGTATTGCCCATGATGTACAGGAGGACCTCAGGTTCTCTCTGTCAACCTGGGAGTGGGCCCCTCACTCTCAGCTTGTCGAGCAGAAGTGGGGGTAGGAGAAAGGCCTGAATACAGGAGCTGGAAAGTGAGTGGAAGGCTGACCCTAAGACTCAGCACAGCCCAGAGCTCCGGCTCCTAACCATTGGTTCCATCCCTCCTGTCCTGCCTCTCTGGGGGCACGCTGAATTACTGATGAGCACTACTGTGTCTGGCTTTACCTGGGCTCTAGGTATCCTAATTCTGGTCCTCACACTGGTGTGGCAAGGGCTTTATCCACAGAACCATCTCACCATCCCACGCTCCTTAGAGCCGGGTGATCGGACACTCATAATCTCTCTGAATTCATGAGGTGCTTAGAAGCTCACCCTTGAGCTGGAAAAGTGAGATCCTGTGCTCCATAAGCCCCTGGGGGCCCCCTTCTGAGAAGAGTTCTGCTCGATGACGCTGGGGACCCTGTGGGGTTTAGTCTGCCATCTGTCTACATGGAATTACCCTAGGAAGGGAGGTCTGGATTTTGCCCGTGTTTCTTCCGTGCCCTGGTTAATAGCATTTCTTTGTTCACAGTGGAGAGGGAAAACGTTCAGAAGAGGACTTTCACACGATGGATAAACCTACACCTCGAAAAGGCAAGTGAGAGTCTGCGGGTTGATGCGTGATACATTTACCTATATATTCACATGCAGCTACATGGGTGGTTCTGTATGGTAGCAGGGAGGAGACATGACTCTCTCTTTGTGTGTCTCCCTCTCTGTCTCTGTGTGTGTCTGTGTGTATGTGTGTGACTTTCTGTAGTGTATACTGTGTATGTATGTGGACATGTCTGTGTTCACGTAGGTAAGTGTTCATGTATGTAAGTTCTCATGTAAATAAGTGTTCATGCATGTTAGCACTCATGTATGTGTTTATGTATGCAAGTGCTCATGTGTGTTAATGTTCATGTATGTAAATGTTCATGTATGTAAGTGTTCATGTATGTAAGCATACATGAAGTGAACCCCTCAGAGGACAACCTCGCCTCCCACCTTGAGAGACAGGGTCTCTTGTTCACTGCTGTACACACCAGACTAGCCATCCCATGAGCCTCTGTGGATTTGCCTGTGTCTGCCTCCCTTCTCAACCTGCAGTCTCTGGGATTACAGATGCACACTACCGCATCTGGGTTCTGGCTGTTGGAACTCTGGTCTCCATACTTCTATGGCAAGGGCTTTGTGCCCCGTGGCTCTGTCTGTGCCTTTGAGTCTTTATGGGTGTCTCAGAATGGGGAACACGGAGAGTAGACACAGCTGTTCTGCAGTCACCAGCAGCTGTGGAGAGGAATCCACAAGTGACAGAAGGTATTCCTTGAACCATTGCAGTGTTTCCATGGACAGAAGCCCCTCAGCCACCCCCAGCTCAGACATTGTCCAGTCGCCCACTCTGGGGCTGTTAGTAGCCATTTGTAGCCATTTGAACTGACTTAGGCAAGGGCTGTGAGCATCGTTTAGCAAAGCCACTTTAACGTTACTGTTGAAGCCCCATACCCGGCATCGGGAAGCCTACTTCACAGCAACCGACTTCGTGCCAGGACAGGGGTGCCCAAGGCCTTCCCCAGCTCTCAGACAGTTTTGCTGTGGCTCTTCTCTTTCCCATTCTAATACACATTTATTTTTATTTTATGTGCGTTGGTGTTTTACCTGCATGTATGTCTGTGTGAGGGCATCAGAAGCCCTGGAACTGGAGTTACAGACAGGCATGATCTGTCATGTGGGTGCTGGGCATCGAACTCGGGTCCTCTGGAAGAACAGCCAGTGATCTTAACCCCTGAGCCATCTCTCCGGCCCCAAGTCTCTCTCTCCCTTTATTTCTCATGTTCTTTGGCCATGCAACTCTGAGTAACATTGTGTCTGCAAGCTGCTGCTCCTGCACACGTAGGTCCCAGGCAGCTAATGACCCCAGCCCCAGACAAAAGGCAAGGCTGAAGAGGAGAGAAAGGGTGAGCAGGTAAAGGAAGGAGGACAAGCAATAGAAATGCAAGCTCCCTGGCACAATAGCTGGATCTGTGAGCCCTGGGAATGTAATTGTGCTAAGTCAGAAAGTGGGGAAACGGAGCTCCTTGCTGAAGTGGCTTACTTTAACACTTGACTATGTTCTGAGCTCCCATCTTTCCTGAGCTCCTGTCCCTCCTTCTGGATGGATGGCATGGTGCTGCCCCGTCACCCAAGAGCATCTTGGAGACTAGACAGAAAGTGACAAGGACTCACACTTGAAGGGTGATAAATCCTTTGCAGGTTGTTTCAACCGTGGGTACATCGCTCATAAAGGGAAACATTACATTATAGGGGGTGAGGGAAGAAAGGGTGTTGGAGATGAAAAAACGGGAAATCAGTCTCCAAACCTGAACTTGGTGAGCCCCTAAATTAATGCCTGATGCATGTCAGCCTGGCTGAGAATTCCTAGCAGGGGACCGGGTAGAGCCAGAAGATCTTTCTTTGTTTTTATAGTAAAAGTAAATAAATATTGAAAAGAGCAGAGAGTCGTGTAACAAACCCTCCACGCTCACCAACCACCCAGTGTGAACCCCTTGAACAAGCATCTACCATGTCAAAGACGGTCTCCTTGGCTGGGCCTGCCCTTTACCCTTTTTCGGGGGCGGGGGGCAGGCAGGTAAGTAGCAGGTAGCACCCATTCTGAGGATAAATCAGACAGTATACCTGAGAGTGATTCGGCTCTCTTGTTAGCAGAGAGAAGTTAACAGCCCCGTTTCCAGCCCTGAGACTTTCAAAAACAACCTTTAAGCCAAGGAAACCTAGGAAGTCCTTGGTGAATTGGGCTTAACTGCAATTTGAAGGCTGTCAGGAATATTTACTGAGTCTCTGGCTTCTGGAAAAATCCCTTAATTTACAGAAGGAGTTCAATCATGCAGAAAGCCCCTGGGGAGGTGGGGGGGCGGGGCTGCGGCTGCGGCCATAGCAGACCCCTGAAGCCTGGGGAATGTTGGTCCAGGGAGTGTTTGGGCTGGAGTGGGTTCTTACCCCCTGCCATCCAGATGTGGACTCTGGCCAAGGTCGTGTTTGATTCCGCTGCAGAGGCCCTTCCAGAAACAGCCGATGGAAATTAGCCTTTGGGTTTAAATCCCAAGCCAGACTCTACCTCTGTCAGGTCGGGTAACTGGAAATTTTGTTAGCCCATTCATCAGGGGTGTTGGGTCTCTTAAAAGGAAGCAGTCTGCCAGGCCTGGAATGTGCCAGAGGCTGCAAGGTTTGCAAAGAAAATATCTTCTTGCCTTTTGGCTCAAACTCACCGGTGCCCTCGGGGCAGTGCCCTTTTTTGTACACCTGTAGGTAGCCTCATCCTGTGTTTTGACTAACCGGGGCAGGGGACTGGGACTCATATAAAAGGTGAGGAAATGCCACCTTCCTTAATAAACAGTAGAACATAGGCCCACCAAGGGGCCAGGGAAGGAAGGGGCTTTCCCAGAGAAGGTTCTGACTGAGCTAACGTTCTGTTGAGATTTTCCTCACCACTGGGTGTGTGCTGGGGAGAGCTGCCACTGTCCCAGTTATCTAGGGGTACTGCATCCTGTTTCCCATTGTCCCTGGAGTATAGGAAGCACCCAGTCACTCCTGGACAAAGGTAAGGGGGAATTCAGATCAAGATCACAGGAGCTCACAAATGTAGGCTTCTGGTCCCTGTCGCATGATTCTCTGTTGCATTCATTTCAACCATTGAAGGTCAGATGTAGGAAACAGGATTTTACCAAATAGCCATGTGATGGTCCCCCAGCCTCTTTGAGCCTCAGTTTCTCCAAATCTGAAGTGAGGGCTTGCACTGGATCATTTCCTGTGAGCCTATCAGATGTCACGTGCGGTTTATTTTTTTCCCCCGCATGTGGTTTATTGATGGGTACGCTGACGTGTGTGTGTGTGTGTGTGTGTGTGTGTGTATGTGTGTGTGCGTGTGTGTAGAAGGTTCTCAGGAGCAACCCACCTTGTTTCTTGACACAGAGTTTCTTGGGCCTGGGACTTACTGATTCGGCAAAGCTGTTTGGCCAGCAGGCCTCAGGGATCCTCTGGTCTCCACCTCCCTCCATTGGGATAATAAGTGTGTACCACCATGCCCAGTTTTTTATGTGGACACCAAGGGATTGAACCCAGGTCCTCATGCTTGTGCCACAGACGCTTTACCCACTGAGCTATCACTCCAGACCCAGAATTGTTCATGCTTGGAAGCCTATAAAGGCATGCCATTTCTTTCTCCTCTTAAACAGAAATCTGAATGTGATCTAGTCTTGGAGCCTGAGATCTCATGTTAGGTGGGCTACCAAAGCTGATGAATCAGCCCCTTGTTGCTGAATCTCTTGTATAGCTCTCCTCCCAAGCCGCCATACACCTGCCAGCCACAGGCCCCTTCCAGGGCGATAAGCTTCTGCCTCCTTGGATGACCCTTTGCCTACAAATTTCACTCTTGAGCAAGAACCGTGTAGATCACACAAGTCATTAATTGGCTTCTTCTTTTCCTTCCGTCCTACAGTGCGACCCGCCTCTAGAAGTTACGGACCTGTTTGTTGATATCCAAGATGGCAAAATCCTAATGGCTTTGTTAGAAGTCCTCTCTGGGCGAAATCTGGTACGTTGGTAACAGCAGGGTCGGGGCCGTTACAAAAGGAAGCACTGCCGAGGTTCTGTTCCCATTCAGGTGTCAGATTATTTCTGTCACTGTGACTAAACACCGAAGATAAAAAGTTTTAAGGAAGAAGGGACTTAGACTTTGGGCTCATGGCTCCAGAGGTGTCTGTGGCCACTTGGTCCTGTAGCTTTGGGCCTGAGAAAAGACAGCGCATCACGAGAACGTCTAACAAGGAAACTTCTCATCTCGTGGCAGCAAAAAGAAAAGGACCAGGGATCCCAATATTATCCTCAAGATATGCAGCTCCTCTAACTTCCTCCCACCAGGCCCCATAAAGTTTCCATCAGCAGCCAGTAGCCCCATAGCCTGGTGTATATAGGCCAATAGCAGCCAGAGCCTTTAGTGTGTGGGTCTTGGGGGAAGCATCCCAAATGCAACCGTGACACAGGATATAAATGTATACACACAGACAGACAGTGTGACTGGATAAGTATCAGGAAATGCTGAAGGATAACATCCCTTTCACCTGAGATGGGGGGTGGGGTGGGCAGGAGAGAAGGCTTAGCCGCTAAGAGCACTTCCTACTCTCCCAGAGGACCTGAACTCTGTGCCCAGCACACAATGGCTCACAATGGCCTATAACTGCAGCTCCGGAGAATCCAGTACTCTTTCTGCCCTCTGAGCGTTCCTGCGCACATGTGGCAGACACATATACAAAAAAAAATTGAACATAAATAGTGACATAAGGGCTGAGAAATGGCTCAGCAGTTAAGAACACTGGCTGCTCTTGCAGAGGACCTGGGTTCAATTCTCAGCACCACATGGCAGCTCACAACCATTCCTAACTCCAGTTCCAGGGGATCTGAGGCCCTCTTCTGGCACCCTCTTTTGGCCTTTATGGGTACTGCATGCACGTGGTATACATACACACATGGACTCATGTCCATAAAATAAAAATAGGTAACTCTTCAAGAAAATGAACTTGGGAGGCAGAGGCAGGCGGATTTCTGAGTTGGAGGCCAGCCTGGTCTACAGAGTGAGTTCCAGGACAGCCAGGGCTATACGGAGAAACCCTGTCTCGAAAAACAAAAAAAAAAAAAAAAGAAAGAAAGAAAATGAATGATATGAACGATGGTAGCTGAGTGATATCTGTTTTTTCTTTTATTATTATTTCATTATCATGCATTCGCATGCACATGTGTAGGGGTGTAACACACATGTCATCGGATATACATAGAGAGGTCAGAGGACATCCTGAGGTAGTTAGTACTCTCCTTGCATTGTGTGGTCCTGGGATCAATCTCAGGTCATCAGGCTTGTGTGACAAGCACTTATTAGCTACTGAGACAACTTGCTGGCCTATATCTGTTTCGGTTTCTTGGTTTTTTGTTTGTTTGTTTCTGTTTTGTTTTGTTTTGAGACAGGGTTTCTCTTGTTGTTTGTTTTTTTAAAGCAAATGTATTTTAATAAGTAAATTAATAAATGAATGGCCAGTGTTTTCAGTGAGCCTGTGACAGCTAAGACTTGAACCTGGACCATTCGAGTTAGCTGGCTAAGCATTGTGCTAGCCAGAGTGACAACTGAGAATTTGGGAAAGCCTTCCTCCCCGTGGCTGCTGTTAAGGGTAGATAACCTCTCAATGCTGGGAGCATCCGTTGGTATAGCAACCACAAATGTCCCCAGGCATTGTCAGATGCCCCCCCACCCCAGGTGGCAAATCGATCCAGTCCAAGATGCCGGTCATAGGGGCTGGAGAAATGGCTCAGCGGTTAAGAGTGATTGTGGCTCTTGCAGAGTTTGATTCACGACATTCATGTCAAGTGGTTCTCGACCACCCGTAACTCCAGCCACAGAGGGTCCAAAGCACTCTTCGGGCCTCCTCTTCTTTTTTTTTTTCTCTTTTTTTTCTTTTTTTTTTCTCTTTTTTCCTTTTTTTCTCTTTTTTCTTTTTTTTTCTTTTTTCTCTTTTTTCTCCTTTTTTCTTTTTTCTCTTTTTTTCTTTTTTCTCTCTTTTTTTTCTTTTCTTTTTTTTTTTGGGCCTCCTCTTCTGCTGGCGTCTGTATGCGCACACATAAATAAAAATAAAATATTTTATTTAAATGCCAGATGTTTACATTGAGAAACGGGCCCTAGGGTTGAGTGTTTGGTCTTGGTGATGACCCTGCTATCTGTGACAGATGGCAGTCTACTCTGGATCTGGCTTTAAAAGCACTACTTCCCACCTGGCCTGATGGCACACACCTTTAATCCCAGCACTCAGGAAGCAGAGGCAGATGAATCTCTGAGTTCGAGGCCAGCCTGGTCTACAGAGCAAGTTCCAGGACAGCCAGAGCCACACAGAGAACGTCCCCCCACCCCCACACCTGCTCGAAAAGCAAAACAAATCTTCTCAGATCCCTGTGGCCGAGACCTGCCACACCCATTCGCCCTTCTCCCCTGGGCTTTCCCTCCCACAAAGTAGAAGATGCCCGTGAGTTCTCTCAAGGGAGAAAACTGTGCAAAGCTGCATGGGTGCTTTCCAGCAGGTCTCAGTGAGCAAGCAGCAGGGTTCCTCCAAAGGCTTTGTAAGAGAGCATACCCCAGTCCCTTGTTCTGTGTTCTCCGTAGACAGGCTCCCTCCCGCTCTGAAGCCAGGGCATGTGGTAACAGCTTCCGTGGCCTTCACCTTTGACCCTAGAGCTCAGCAAAGGACAGTCCTCCTCCACTGCGCAGTAGCAGATCGCAGCAGGTCTATCCCGGTGGAGTTGGCCCGTGTGTGAGGACAAGTTCACTGTGCAGAGCCCACACCGTCGGGAATTGAGCTGCAACCTGCAGCTGGCTTTCGGGTGTGCCCCCCAAACCCCTTCTGAAAACCCAGCCACACCCGCTGCTGTTGGGGAGGCTGAGTTGAGTGGATGCGGAGAGCAAGCTGGATTCTCTTAGCAACTAGTCACTTGTGCCGTGAGGCCATGTTACTGTGGGTTCTTGGGGTGGGGGCGGGGGTGAGGGAAGGGGTTAACAAGCCAGGAGCTGGTTGGAGAGAAAACTAGACACATTTGTCCCATGTCAAGATTCCTCATCTACCAGCTCCTGCGAGCCAAGTCTCAGGATCCTGGTATCACAGTGACATTTGGATACCGCCATTATGGGTCATTTCTTATTTATTTATTTATTTATTTATTTATTTATTTATTCGTTCACTTTACATCCTGGTTGTAGACCCCCTCCCTCCTCTCCGCCCAGTAATATCTTCACAAATCCCTCTCTCCCCATCACCCCTCCCCTTCTCCTCAGAGAAGGGGAAGCCCCCCTATGAGTACCAGCCTGTCCTGGGACATAAAGTCTGCAGCAGGACTAAGGACATCCTCTCCCATTGAGGCCTGACCAGACAGTCCAGCTAGGGGAAGGGGATCCAATGGTAGGCAACAGAGTCAGGGACAGCCCCTGCTCCAATTGTTAGGGGACCCACATGAAGACCAAGCTGCACATCTGCTACAAATGTGTAGGGGATCCAGTCCCTGCAAGCTCTTTGGTTGGTGACTCTTTTCAACAGTCTCTAACCTTCAAAACGGAGTGGTAAAGATAAAGGAAAGGCGCCCCCTGTGGTCCTGAGGCGCTACTGCACGGGTGCTGGCTTAGCTGCGTGTTTTGTTTTTCAGCTGCATGAATACAAATCCTCATCACATCGTATTTTTCGCTTGAACAACATAGCAAAAGCACTCAAGTTTCTGGAAGATAGCAATGTAAGTGTTTGAAGCCTGTCTGAGCAACGCAAGCTTGCCTGGAAAGAAAGAGCGGGATTTGAAGTTTGGTGCTGGTCTCTCAGGAAGTGTGGAAAGGCTTGAGGGGGAACAGCCAAGCTCTCCCAAACTTAGGGTGAAGGGAAGTCACTCAGAGAAGCTACATTTTAAGATGTGGCCCCCCCATGCCCTTGCCCACCTTTTTTGCGCCTGTGGGTAGGCAGTCTGGGACAAAGCCAGCAGCTGGTTGGTTCTCAGAGGTTTGGGACTGATGGCTACAATGTATCTCTCTCTTAGAACTTAAGGAAAGGGCACTCAGGGTGGCCCAGGCAAAGACAGCAGCCTGGCTCTGTCATAGAGATTTCTGGATCTGTATTTGGAACTCTTTCTTGTCCTTCTCAGGTGGCATCCCTAAAGTCCCCGTTCCCCCCACCCCACCCCCGGCTCCTTTCATTAGGTTTGTTTCAGGACAGTCTGGGTGAGCTTATCTGGCCTATCTGCAGAGTAAACCATTACCCTAAAGTGCAGGTCCTTTGAGGTCGTGTAAGACAAGCAGGTGTGTGTGTGTTTGCTATCTCAGCAGAAAGAGTATTGGGTGAGGGTGACCAGTAGCTCATGAAGGGACCTGGAGAGGAGAGGATGGAGCCCGGGGAAAGTTGGATCCTGGAACATCTCAGAACTTGCTAAAGGGCGGAGCAGGCATGCCTCCACTTTCCTGCCCTGATGCTTCTGGCTGTTCTTACCCAGCCTGGGGAAGGCGCTTCACCCCTGCAGTGCCTTCCCAAGCTGAACTGATGTGGATGCCAATCCTGCGGCTGAACCGAAGCCCAGATGCAAGAACCGTGGGAAGCACATGTACCACCACGGAGGAAGTGGGATCTGTCTCCCGATCGCCACTCAGCAGAGAAAGACCTGGATGCAAGGGGTTTAGGTGATGGTGACCACAAAAGACCCCAGTGCATATTTGATATCGGAGTCCAAAGGTGCAAACAGACCCACAACTTACCAGCTGACAGATGGATCAGTGCTCTTGGGGAATATTATTTGATTGTAGAAAAATAAGTTTAGTGCCGGGCAGTGGTGGCGCACGCCTTTAAATCCCAGCACTTGGGAGGCAGAGGCAGGCGGATTTCTGAGTTCGAGGCCAGCCTGGTCTACAGAGTGAGTTCCTGGACAGCCAGGGCTACACAGAGAAACCCTGTCTCGGGAAAACAAAACAAAACAGAAATGGTGAATGTGTTCTACAATCTGCTGCCGTGGTCTTTACCCATGTCTGCAAATACACCAAACCCATGGAACCGAATGCTCTAAATGGGAGACAGACCGTCAACCGCATCTCCGTGAAGCTTTAAATACAGTGAAGTTTAAAATACAAGGATTTCCCAGATTCCACTCTGTGGGCTCGGGAACACTGTCAGCCTCTACTTGAGCAAGCATCAACCTTGCCTTAGTGTGACTAGGCCCCGGGTTTCCAATCCTGGCCTCCCCACTCACTTCTAGGGACTGTGGGAAAATCATATACCTGTCTAAATAGAAGGATCAGAGACAGAACCTCCCTCAGAGCGCTATCGAGGAGGCGGGGTGCCCAACCCTGTCAAGGGCTGTGTGACCCTGTTTCTGCCACTTCACCAGCTTGACTGACTGAACTCCTTGTGGCACCACCCACCTGTGTTCCATCATTAGCAAAGCTCTCAGGAAGCAGCTGTCTCCTCTGAATTCTGAAGGAGCCTTACTCGGGGACAGGGGGCGTGGCTTCAAGCAGCTGCCTAGGTTACCCCCACTTCTGCCTTTGTTGACCTTTGTTGATCATCTCCCACTAGTAATGTCCATGTGGGTGACTCTGGTCACAGTTACCCATGCAGGTCATAGGCTTGCAGCCGAGTGTCTTTGTGGATTTGGACTGTGCCTAGCTAGCATTGGGGAGAATCAGTTAAGTAAGATGCACATGAACCTTCAAGATGGCTGGGGTCCAGAGGAAAGAACAACATTCTTGCAGGCAACCTGCTGCTTGGCGCCCCAGGGCACAAAGAGGAGCTTCGTTCCCACAGAGATGAGAACATAAGGCCTTCGCTGCTGAGTCTGCATGCGAGGTGTTCCCGCCATGGACTAATCTGAACATATATGGTCCCACGGGAAAAGTGTGGCCCCCACATGTGAGCCTTTTCCCGGCCGTCTGCTCTAGCGACCTCAGAGCACCACAGACCACTGAGCCTACCTTCCCTTCAGTTAGTTATTCTTCATAGAAACATTTAGAACTATCCCAGAGCGGTGTGTGGTAGCTCAGTGCCTCAATTTGGGTCCATTTCCCAGGCAGGTAGGAAAAGTGTAAAGTGGTCCAGGGGGATGATGATCCAGGAGGAAGATGATGATGGAGAGGAGGCCAGACAAGTTCCCGGAGGCAAGCTGTGTCCCGTTCTGAGAATCCACAATATGACTTAGGGAACCTTACTTGTCCCTCTTTGTGCTACCGCCTGGACTCCTAGAAGGACAGGCCTCAGTGGCTTTGCTGGTTCCTCAGTGTCAGTGCCCAGAGCTGGGAAATAGGTACAGACAGCAACCAAACCTGTTGTTCTGGGGTTCTGGGGTCCTGGGACCAGCCAGTGTGCACCCTTCTCTCTCTTCAACTGTGGGTTATGGATATAGCTTCCCATATAGGACCAGCCCTGGGACTTCAGTAAGTCACTCAGGCTGAGCCTTGGCTTTGTCACCTTTGAAATGGGGACATGGAGAGTATTGGAGAGACTAACTCAGGAAGCCACCTGCAGTAGTCGGTGCTCTGTAGGGGAAGCTGTTGTCATGAAGGTTTCCAAGTCACTCTTGTAAACCTGTCAGCTCAGAGAAAAGAAAAGCTGGTTCCACAATCCAGCAGGCTCATTTGTATTCAGTTCGGCAGATAAGCCGAGTTAGGGGGGAGAGGGGGAATACCATCCCTAAAGATCTGAAGCATGGCGATTTTATCGTCTGTCCATCACCAAGGATAGCATAAGGCTCCATCCTCCAGAGAGGACTCTACACTGAAGATGACAATGACAGTCTCTAAAGTACTTGTAGTTCACTGGCATAGAATGTTCTATAAACCGCAAACCAGAGGATGCTTCCAGGAAGGACCTGGGGATAAGAAAACAGGAGAGTTTCAACAAGTGATTGGTTGTGTGCGGTGAGTGCTGCTGAGGGAGCCTGGACAGAAGATTGGCTCCGAGTTTGATGGGTTGTATCCCTCTCGGTATTGACAACTTCCTTCCTGGCCTCCAGTCTGCCGGCGATGAGCCCGTGTTGTCTCAATTACTTTCTTGGCAGCAGCGGTGAATGGCCCGTCAACCAGGGAGCTGGCCAGTCAGCCTCAATTAGGCTACCCGAGGCCTAACTGATGTTGTCAGAGCCCCCCAATAAACCGATAAGATCAGAGATGTGAGCCAAAGCCGTTTAAAGGCTCATGACAGAAAGGGAAAGTGGAGTGAGGAACTGCCATATGACAGACAGCCTCCCTAAGCTTTCCCCTCCCCCAGTGTCCCGGGATAAAGTTTGCAGCGTGGGTTACAAAGGTTGCTCTGGTGAGCTCACTCCACCCCCATTACCCCTGAAGACAGCTATGCGCATGTATGGAGTGTCGGACAGCTATGTGCGTGTATCGGTGTGTAGCTCAACAAGGAGAGGAAACGGGACAGTGACCTGCAGAACTTGCTCGGCCCTGTTCACCCTCTCACTCTGAGGCCTTTTCCAGAGAGGTTGGCCAGAGGCTGACCGCTGGACTGAGAGCACAGTGATGGGTGTAAGCACTGACCCTCCATCCTGAGCCCTCACAGGACACTCTGTGTGCGTTAAAGTGCAAAAAGGGCTTCGCAGGGTGGGTCAAGCACTTGCTGCTTAAGAAGACCTGAGTTTTGATACTAGATAGCTAAAACCTGCGTTAAAAATACAGGTGCTGTAATCCCAGTGCCCCTCCCCAGGCAAAGTAGGAACAGAGACAGGAGGATACTTCAGAGTTTCTTGGCCAGTCAGTATAGCCAAATCAGTGAATCCCAGGTCCAATGAGAGATCCTGTCTCAAAACAAAACAAACAGAAAATCAGGTGTAGAAGCTGGACCTGCTCGGGCACACCTTCAGCCCCAGTGCTTGGGAGGCAGAGACAGACAGAGCTCTGAGTTCAAAGACAGCCTGGTTTACGTAACGAGTTCTAGGTCAGCCAAGCCAACTTGGTGAGACACGGCCACAAAGATAAATACATAAGTAAATAAACAAAAATAAATAAATAAAAATGTACAAATAAGGTGGTGCCTGAGAGAGGGAGACACCTGACATCAACCTCTGACTTCCACACACACCACAGACATGAAATGCAGGCTGTGGGTGTCAGGAAACAGCTCCCTAACTAGGTCCTCAGATGCTGCAGGTCCCGGGGATGTAAGTAGTTTTAGGGTTCATCGGGACATCTTTGCATGGTCAGACACAGGTGAAATAGTATCGTCTAAGAGGTTTCTCAGGTTGACATGTTACATAGCCGCTCTGTAGAACAGCCTGTGTAGATGCAGAGTCCCTGGCTATGAGGGGTTCACTGTTCGTTTTTTCTGATGGCTGGGGTGTGTGCTCTGAGTTAGTCAGGGGTACGCTAAGTCAGGAGGTTTGATGGCGTTCATGCAGCATGCAGACAGCCTTCCTGGGGCTCTTGGCCTCCCTTTATGAGATGGAATAGTAGAAACTGCAGGCTTATGGCTCGGGGCACATTGGAGTTGTGCACCTGTATTCTTTTATGCAGGTTTCAGCTATCAAGAGCCTTCTGATGCTCTCCTAACAAAGTGGTAAGAGAGGTGCCTACATGATAGGCCCGTGGTTGGGGTACATTGAGTCAATACTCATGAGTAAGACTTTCGGGTGGTGTCCGCACATGGTAAGCACTACATATGTTTCAGTCAAATACAGGTTTTGCACATTAGGTGTCCCCAAGAGGTGGCTTTTGGCAACAACAAATAGCACCAGGCAGTCAGTAGCATCAGGCTTGCGAGAGCGGGGAAGGTGGTAGGTCAGACTTCTCAGAGCTTTGTGCTCATCCACCGCTTCTTTCCAGGTCAAGCTGGTTAGCATCGATGCAGCAGAAATAGCAGACGGCAACCCTTCGCTGGTTCTCGGGCTGATATGGAACATCATTCTCTTCTTCCAGGTAAGCCTGGACACTCGAGCGTCATCCTGAGCGTTCTAATCACAGGACAGCATGCTCACATCAAGGGACACTATGAGACTTCATTTCCATGATTCATGTTCCTCTGCTTTCTGATGAGACCCGGGAAGTGAAGACTGAGGCTCATTATTTAGTGACTAAGGCGATCCGCTAGGGGAAGGTTTGCAGAGGCTTTGGTGCTGATGTTGTCCAGAGGCACAGGCACTGTTTGGAGCTGTGGATCTCTTTCCGAGTCAGCCGTGAACTTGAGCCTCAGTTCCCACCTCTATAAGTGCCGGAGTGGTCACAAGATATGCCGTGGGTGAGGGCTTCACCCACTGCGCCAGGTCTTACACAGGACTCGGTCACTGTGTAACCTGGCTTCCTGAGGGATGCTGGGAACATCAGGAAAGGTGTTGAACGCCTTAAATAGACCTCAGAGCTTCCTTCACCCCTCTGGTAGGTGTCTGTTGAGTTTCTTTAGTATCGCAGATGTTAGGGAGACGGAATTCTCTCTTCTTGGGGGGAATCACAAAGACACATGGATTCCATATTACTGTAGGGTATAGGTCACAATTAGGGTATGAGCAGGTCTTTGTAAGAGCTCTAATAGGGGACAATTTGATCACAAATGTGTGAACAGATGAAGAAAACCATAACTAAGGTAGTGACCTGAGCTGGGTTTTGAAGGATGGATAATAGTATGCTTCTCAGATTTAGTATGCATACGGATTTCATGGGTGCTAAAATGCCGCCTGAATCTAGGTGGTTCTGGGACAGGCCTGGGCTTCTGCATCTCTCACATGTACCCTGTGGTAATAGCTCAATGCTGGAGGAAAGGGACAGTCAGCCCGCTGGCCCAGAATGAGCCTAGGAAACTTGATAGGAGCATGGTGCATTCTGGGAGTGCCAGGAACAGATACGGATAGTCTTGTGCCGAGGCTTGCTGTGTGCCTAGGCTGATGAGAACTACAGAATCTCGGGAAAAGCTTCTTGTATACTGAGAACCAAGTCTATATCAGCCAGACTCTCCCAGGGTCTTGTGGCAGGTCAGAGGGAATCACTGGCCAGAAGTCCCTGTGGGTCACTGGGGTCTGATATGCCTTTTTCTCTCTAGATAAAGGAGCTCACAGGGCACCTCAGCAGGAGTTCTCCATCTTCCAGCTTGTCACCTGGCTCCGGGGGCACGGACTCCGACTCTTCCTACCCACCCACCCCCACCACAGAGAGGAGTGTGGCAGTGGCAGTGAAAGACCAGAGGAAGGCCATCAAGACCCTGCTGTCATGGGTGCAGAGGAAAACCAGGAAGTAAGCTGTAGTCTTCCCCTCCCCAACCTAAGTCCGGCTTTAGATGCACTGATGTCCACCATGGGCGTACCACACCCTACAAAGCCATCTCCAGGCCTGGGGATTAGTACACATGGATCTGGGTGAGCAAGATAGATCAAATTCCATCTGCTAAGGTACCAGATGTCTATGAGCCCTATGCTTCACACAAACCATCAGAACAGGAATGTGATGTGCTCTTCCAGTTTGTATGTGGTGTGTGTCTATGAGTGTGTGTCGCATGCGCATGCTTGCACCTGCAGAGGCGAGAGCAAGCATCAGGCATCTTCCTTCATTGCTCTCTATCTTATTTTCACAAGACAGAGCTGCTCACTGAATCAAAAGCTTGCCATTTCAGCTAGGCTGGCCAGCAAGCTTCTGGCACCCTCCAGTCTTTGCTCCACAATGATAGGCTTACTTACACACACAGGCAAGCCATGCCTGGCTTTTTGTGGGGGTGCTGGGGTTTCAAATTCAGGTCCTCTTACCAGTTCCTAAGCCCACTTATAGCAGTCTCCTGCCAGGCCTTTTACTGGCCGATCCAGGGCCTTAGTCAGAGATGTCAGGCTAGTGTAGAAGAAACCACACCTACTCGGGGACACTGCAGCACTTCTGTGTACAGCCTAGGGGGGTAGTTGCTGGTGTCTCACTTTTCTGTCTAAGCATCCTCTATTAAATGGTGACACCATTCGCTGCCTTCCAAGACAGTTGTGACACAATCGTGGAGAGCTGCTTGCACCTCACCTAAAAGCCACTTAATACATTTCTTCACACCTCCCCCAGAAAGAGGAGATGGAACAGAGGCTAGACCTTTTTGGGGGGGAGGTGATGGAAGAAGTTGAATGTGAATGATTAGACTAGATTAGACTAGATTACAGTGGAAAAAGCAGGAAAGGTTTAAGAATAAATCAAGTGGGACTTGGGAACCAAGGGTCTGACTTGCATTTTTGGATAATATATACCCCCTGCTCCATTTGGAAAAGTCTCAGGGCAGACTTCATGGTGGTTAGGGCCAGGAGGTCTCTGAACAGCAGAATAGGGAACAGCACCCAGGCCCCTCAGGCCTCCTTTTTGGGTCCTTTACTAACCTGGGTTGTTGCTGTCCCTTCTTCTCATCAGGTATGGTGTGGCAGTCCAAGACTTTGCAGGCAGCTGGAGGAGTGGGTTGGCTTTCCTGGCTGTCATCAAAGCTATCGACCCCAGCCTCGTAGACATGAAGCAGGCTCTAGAAGATTCCACCCGGGAAAATCTGGAGAAGGCCTTCAGCATTGCACATGATGTCCTGCATATCCCCAGGCTCCTGGAGCCGGAAGGTACGGTGACTCTCCCTCTCTATCCTTTTAACCGTTATTACAAATATACCACCTGCTCTTCCAGGTAGGAAACTAAGAAGATTAAAATAAAGGTCTAGTGAGGAAAAAAAATTCTATTTCCTATGCTATAGTCTTTCTTTGTGCATCTAATTCCTACGTAACTGACATCATTTGGTATATGTATAACTTTGTCTCTTTTTCACTTGTCGTAGATAATATCAATGTCTGGCTAGCATATTTCTATAATCTTCTGGCTATATTTATTTATATTGGCTGCAGAACAGTCCACCTGTAGGCATACTAAATTTATCTGGCTTCCCCATGCTTGAGCCATTGAGGTTATGTCAGAAATGATCAGGTCAGGGGTTGGAGGTGTAGCTCCGTGGCAAGTGTGAGACCCTGGGTTAGATCCCTAATTCTGTAGGTGGAAGGAAGGAGGGGGGTCGGGGGAGGAAGAAGGAGGCCAAGAGAGAAAAGGGGGAGGAAGAGAATGTCATACACAACACGACCATAAACATCTTACCTACTCAGCATGCTTTGATATCAGCTCCCACTTGCAGAATGACAAAGTTGGGGGGGTACATAATGTAGTATTAATTATCTATTAATAAATCCCGCTGGCAGGTTCGCTACCCACTTCGATGCTTAACGTCCCTAAATGAAAGACACACACACAGTCTTTATATTTATAGCTCAGTAGCTGGACCACTGCCTAACCTCCACGCGGTTAATCCTGAGTTACGACTTACTAATTCTATGTTCTGTCTTGGCTGCTCTGTGCCCAGAGGGCTGCCCAACTGGGCCATGCTCTCCTGACTCCTTCACAAGGCGGCCATGCCTCTCTCTCTCCTACACTCTCCTCAGGCATGGTGTGTCTTGTCTCCTCCATATACTCTTACCAGCATGTCCGATCTTCTTCTTCCCCTCCTAGTCCCAAGTCAAGTCCTGCCTCTGTCTGCCCTGCCCAGCTATTGGTTGGCATCTTTATTACCAATCAGAACCAACTGGGGGCAGGTTCCCAGAAGCTACTTACAAGTAGCTACACGTTAAGATGTGTAACTCTGTTCTGTCTGTCACGTTGTTTTCCACACTGGGATGTCTAGTTTGGGACCCCTCAATGTCACGGTCACCAGATGTACTCATGGAACTAGCCATGAGCTGATTAATTTCAGTGAAGGGATCCAAAGAGGAAGAGGGGCACAGTCCTGAGTTCCCCATCCCAGATCCTCTGCCCAGCATTAGATACTCAGTGGCATAGTCCAGCTTTAGCCAAAGGTGTTGCTCCCTCTCAGAGTCTAAACTTCTTCCAGGGGAAAAGAAAAAGGAAAACCTTTGCTGAGGTGTGTGTCCCTTCCTCGTCAATGCCCAGTGGTACTGAGGAAAAAGCATGTGTCTTTGCTAATGCCTTTGTCTCTCTCAACAGACATCATGGTGGACATGCCGGACGAACAGTCCATTGTGACTTACGTGGCCCAGTTTCTAGAGCGCTTTCCAGAGTTGGAGCCTGTACGTTTGTTTCCCTTCCTTTCAATTCACAAACCGGACATTTTTCCTGGGGACTCAAGGGACAGACACAACAGCCGGGGCTCTGGCTGGGGTTCTGGCTGGGACTGTGTGGTTCTATGTGGTTGATGGTAACAATGTGACCTCATGTTGCTTGCTTGTCCTATTTCAATTTCTAAACCGTCTGTGACACAGTTCACCAAGGTCGCAAGTGGAACAGAAAGCCAGTCACATCTCACACTGACCTCTTCCCAGACTGACTCGATTAAGACAACAGTGTTCACCTGTCACCCAGGTGTCACTCTTTAGATACCCAGTGACATAGTCCAGCAAGTCACCAAATCTTATAGGAGGCTCAAAATTATAAAAGACACTGACCAACCATTTGTAACCAGCATGCTTGTGGGGTATGAGTATCTCTGTGTGTGTGTGTGTGTGTGTGTGTGTGTATGTGTGTGTGTGTGTCCATGTATATGTGTATGTGTCTATGTCCATTTGTGTGTGTATGTCTGTGTCCATCTCTGAGTGTGTCCATGTGTATATGTGTATATATGTATGTGTCCGTGTATTGTCTCTGTGTGTGTCTATGTTCATTTGTGTGTGTGTGTCCCCATGTCTATCTCTGTGCATGTCCATGTGTATATGTGTATATATGTGTCCATGTGTGTCTCTGTGTGTCTGTGTGTGTGTGTTATATTGTTAGGTTTTTTGTTTTTTGTTTGTTTTTTACCATTTTGAGACAGGATCTCATGTTATAGCCACAGCTGGTCTTGAACATACAGCAGTCCCCCTGCATCAGTATCCTCACTCTGGTAATACAATATGTGCCACTATACTCTGATCACACTTTTACCTTTATAATACCAGATTACACCTGAAGCTAGGTTTTAGGCATGGATGGAAGTTGTTATGGTTTCACTGAACACACACACACACATACACACACATATCCACACACAACCCTAAGATGGGAGTTGCTTATTCTGATCAATTCAGGAACCTAGAGACATGTTAGTGCTAGTTCATCACTGCATCACATCCTGATGCAGAATGACTTCAGATGCTGAGGATGAAGTCAGTCCTCTCTGTCAGTACTGATGGAGGCCCACCCCCTGCAACCCTAGTGACTTGCTCTCTGTCTCTCAGACCTGCCTTGCCTCTTGTACTGAAGACGGCCCTTCCTGAGTAGAATCACAAGGGTCTGATAAGAGTTGGTTATGTAGCTTGATCATGACCCTTCTGGCATCAGGCTTTCACCGTGAGCCACATGGCCAGTAAGAATGTGCTGGACCTTCCTTACCTCAGGCAGGCTAGCTCCCCCACCAGCAGTGTGAAGCAGCTTAGCCACTGTTCACTGAAGTACACTGAATACTCCATTCAGTCTGTTGTTATCTCTTTGAAAAAAACTACCATATTTCATATTTTTATTTATCTGGTACTTCTGCATCTCAGCAGAACAGGACCCTTGTGACTGTTGTCATCCCTAGGGAAACTCTTGTTAAAGTGGCTTTTATGTTTGGGTTTGGAGTAGGGGATGGAAGTTGTACTTGAAGGCAAAACCGGTGGTTTTATGTTGTCTTGTGTTTCTCTGCAGGAAGATTTTGTGAATCCAGACAAAGAAGCACCCATCGAGTCTACCTTTGTCCGAATCAAAGAAAGCCCCTCTGAGCAGGAGAGCCGAGTCCTCCTCCTCAGTGAGAATGGAGAGCGGGCTTACACTATCAACCATGAAACCAGCCACCCGCCGCCTGACAAGGTCTTTGTCTGTGACCAGCTTGAGAGCCCGAAGGGCTTCTGTCTGGGTAGCGTGCCCAGCTACAAACTGTCAGACAGTTCCACAGACTTTATGCACCAGATTATTGACCAAGTCCTCCAGGGAAGCACTGGGAAGACTGTAACCAACACAGAGCCCGCCCCAGAGTCGTCCATTTTGTCAACCAGAAAGGATGGCAGGAGGTCCAACTCTTTGCCCGTCAAGAAAACCGTCCACTTTGAGGCCGACTTGCACAAGGATGCTTCGTGTAGCAAGGACCCTTTCTACAGCTCTGACTTCCGCTCCGAGGGGAGGCCCAAGGTGGCCAAGGTCCTGCCAAAGAAGGATGGCCATATCTCATTGGCTGAGGTTTCCAAGGAAAAGAAGCCAGAGCAGGAAGCCAGGCTAGTGCTGGAAGCTGCCTCAGACAAGGCCCCTGAAGACACTGTGGATGACATGGATGCTGTGCTCCAAGATGCTCAGCCTTCCCAGGATTCCTCATTCTGTAACGGCACTGTAGAGAGTCCATCCAGTCAAGGTGAGAAAGGCCCTTCTCCACTATCTCCTGGAGATCGTACTATCCTGGCCAACTCCACTGAGCTCAAGGTCCAGCTGCTGACCGTGGAGCCTATGGACAAAAACGACTCCTTTGAATGTATCCCACTGAAGGCTTCCAAGTTTAACAGGGACCTAGTAGATTTCGCCTCCACCAGCCAGGCTTTTGGTGAGGATCCTTCGTCCCACGAGAAGACACCCGGGGAGGAAGAGGGTTCTGAGAATCACACTGAGAAACCAGAGAAAAGGAAATCGAAGTCTCCCCATGCAGAAACAGAGTCTGCCGAATCCAAATTGGAGCCTCAGAAGCTGGAGCCTCCTCCCAAGGATCCAGAACAAGAAAACCAAGGTCACGCTTTGCCCCCGGAAACACCTACAGACAAAAAGCCCGAAGTGTATGAAAAGGCCAAGAGAAAGTCCACTCGTCATCACAGTGAGGAAGAAGGAGAGGCAGAAGGCAGCCTCTCCGCGGTCGGCGGAGAAATACCGTCCAACCCTCCAAGTACCAGCGTCAGCCTGGAAACCCTCAGGAGTCACAGCGAAGAAGGTTTGGATTTCAAACCTTCGCCGCCTCTCTCGAAGATCTCTGTCATCCCCCACGACCTGTTCTACTACCCGCACTACGAGGTGCCCCTGGCAGCAGTGCTGGAGGCTTACTCGGAAGGTGGGGAGGATTTGAAAAGCGAAGATGCAGATCTAGAGCATCCAGAGGAGAGCTATCTGCAGGACTCCAGGGGGGAGGAGGATGACGAGGATGAGGAGGAGGCACACAGCTCCCAAAGTAGCTGCAGCTTCTCCTTGCCTGTTGACAACAGCTATCCCAGAGTCAGTGACCATGTCTCCCATGCCGACGGGAGTTCTGAGGGACCCACACCAGCCTCGGTACCTGGTTCTCCACCCTCCCACGAGGACCACCAGCCAAAGGAAGCCAAAGAGAATGGCCCTGTGGAAAGCCAGCAGGTACTCGAGGTTTGGGAACTCAGAGCTTCTCCCTCTGTAAGCCTTCCCTTAGGCATAGAATTTAATGTCCTTACAGGAGGCTTCAGCAAGTATTGAGTTGATACCCGGAAGGGAGTCCCTCCTAAAATTTTGCACCCGGGTGCCCCACTGATCTTATTCCAGTCCAGGCCCTACTCAAAGGGCTTCTAAGAGGACAAGTGTGATTGTGTGTGAGGGGCCAGCAGGGTAAGGAATGATCATTTAAAAGCAGCCATTAATAGTGAACTACCAGATCATCTTCTGTAGCTACCTGGGAAACGGGGGCAAACTCCCATTGGACTCCAGCTTGATTCTTAGAAACCTTGGCTGGGTCAGGCCCTGTTCTTCCGTTCCTGGGATTTGCTATGGATCGTGTAGGCAGGAGAGGGAAACACTCATTCTAGGCTCAAGCAGCTGAGCACATGCTTGTCAGCCAATTGTGTCTTCTCTGTGTCTAGCCAGTGGCTCAAGGCGGGTATAAGAGGAACTGGTACACAGAGCCCTGCTCTGATGCCCTGGGGAACAGGCAAGATCTTTCAACAAAGAACTACCTTGCAGCCCAGGGAATCCTGGAGAGGGTGTCAAAGCCCTACTGGTGCAGAGACGGTTGAGAGGGGAGGGACCTGGGCTCAGCTCCAGCAGGTCATTTGCCTGTCAACTCAGCAACATGGGTCTCGACCCTTTTAGGGTCACAGGTCCGATATCCATATTACTGTTCATAGCAGTAGCAAAAGTACAGTTATAAAGTAACAACAAGATGATTTTTATGGTAATACCACCACATAAAGAATGGTATTAAAGAACCACTACATTAGGAACATTGAGAGTCACCAGTTCAGCCCTTTGGAAGAAGCATCCTGACCAATATCATCAGCAAATGTAGGAACAGGGAGACACGCCAACTTCTCCTACAGTGGACACAGAGAGTGTGGCATCAGATGTGGAGACGGCCCTGCAAAGGGTTCCGCAGAGGGAGATTCCTCAGACCCAGAGAGGCTGTGGGAGAGCCCCCCAGTGGAGGATGTTCCTGAGTGCCAGAATCAGGCTGGGAATAGAACCAGCTTATTCCAGATCAGCTCTGTCACTGTTTTTTTGTTTGGTTGGTTTTTGTTTTGTTTTGTTTTGTTTTTTGGGTTTTTTTTGTGTTTTTGTTTTTTGGGGTTTTTTTTTTTTGCCTCTTCCTGGATGTTAGACCTCTCATCCCCTCCTGAGTTCAGTCCTGAGCAGCCCACAGAGGGGTGACCCTAAAGCCCAAGTCTCACCTCACTTCCCCCATACTCCAGCCTCCTTAGCATGGCCTCAGACACTCCTTCCTCTCCCACCTGACTGTCCATCCCTCCCAGCCTCCCTCCAGCAAAGGTGGCTTCTCTGGCTTCTAGATACCCATGCTCTTGTTGGTCCTTCCCCACCTAGAATTTGACATGTGGTCGTTCACCCTTCAAAGCTCTGCGTCGAGGTCACCTCCTCCCGGCTCCTGCCCTAGCAGAGGCCTTTCTGCCTCAGTGCAGGCCAACCAGACTCTGGCAGTTCTTTCCCATGTCCATGGGGTTTGTTTTTCCATCCCAAGAGTAGTAAGCGGGCTTCTGTGTATTCATCCTTGGACCCTAGAGACCAGCGTGGTGGCTGGTAGTGTCTTCCAAATGCAGGGGACCAAGTGCGTATTGCTTTGGGAAGGAAACAAGAAGATAAAAGGGGAGAAACATGGGTGAGCTCCTGAGTGGAACTGGAAGGGCTAGGAAAGACTTTACACTCCATGGGCTTCAGGCGAGGGAGCTTGGGGAGCCTTCGGTGATGCTTAGGATTGAGATAGCATCCTGCCTTCAGCAGCTCTCGCTCACTGTGGTTCTGTTTGCCAATCCGGGACAATGGGGAAGAGTTCTGAGTCCTCAGCCACGAGTGGCTATTTGGGACAGGGCAGGGAGCAGTGTGCTCAAGGGTCGTAGGTCACATGGAGAAGAAGGCTGACGGCTCCAGAGGTGCCAGAGACACACCTGACTACTTGCCCTGTTGCTGAGAGCCACCTCCCCTACACAATTCTTCACACCTGATGTGGGTTGCCAATTCCTCCCCGCGGTGCCTCCTGTGGGAAACTGGCAGAAACCAGCAGCGATGGGCATAGACATCATCGAGATCAGATCTAATGTTTTAGCTGAAGGTATGGAGGACAACTGGAATGATTCTCCAGATTGCCAGGGGGCGAAAAGCTATGTGGGAGGAGTAGGTGGCTGAGAGTGTCCAGGCTCCCGTCCTTGGGCAGGCAACCTATGGAGACACAGTCTGACCCTTCATTCTCTTGTTTTGTTGGTTATGACAGGCTCTGATGTACCCCAGGCTAGCCTCAAGTTCACTAAGAAGCCAAGAATGACCTTCAATATCTGATCATCTTCTTTTCTAAGTACCAATATATCAGGCTTAGGCAGTGCTGGGGATCGAACCTAGGGCTGCTTTCATGCTAGTCAAGCCCTCTATTAACAGAGCCACATGCTCAGTGCCTGACCTTTCATGCCAGGAGTTGCCAAAATCAGATCGAGCCCCTGCATTGTGGAGAGCGTTAGGTGGACAGCTAGGGGTGGTTGGGGCAGCCCTGGGTAGGAATCGTGTGGTCAGTTAGATTTGGAATCTCATCCTACCTCACATCTTACTGGTGGACAGCGGGGAGTATGGGGGACAGGGGTAGGAGCAGATCAAGCTACCTTCCCCAGCTCTGAGCATAGTCTTCCTATAACCCAGAGGCAGGAACATTGACACAACTTGCATATGGCCCTGACCCCAGGGCCTTTGCCTGTCTTCTGCTCCGTACCCCATGTTCTATTTGATCCCCAAGTGTACCCCCTGCTTCATCCTGGGGCTGAGTAAAGCCCTCGGTGTGGAGAACCCCGAGTCTGTTTCCTACCTGTTCCTCCTTTCAAAAAGGAAAAGTAAGGCTATCCGAGTAAGCAAAGACTAGAAAATGGCAAGTTTGTATTGTTCTGACCATTAAAAAAAATAATAAAATAAAAATCCTCTTTTCATTTCCCCTTTAGGAAAGGTCTCTTTGCTCAGCCATGAAGGACAATGGTCTCCTATGGCTAAGAGCACTTTCAGTTCCTGCTTGGAGCTTTGTTCTGGGTAGCTGACCTGGCTTCCAAATTCCTTGACAGGCCCTTGTTGAGCGGGTTCTCCCTGCTGGTCCCACACTTGAGATTTCAGTGGGGGCGTTGCCGATGGCTATCGGGTACTCTGTGGTACAGCGACTAGCTCTTTCCCTCTCCGGTAAATACTAGAGATGTAGCCTTGTGGTCCCTTCCAGCAAAGGCACAGTGTCAGTGTGCCCCCCCCCATCCCCTATAGACTGCATTTGCCTGTGTGCATCCCTTTCCAGACCCATCTTTGTACCTAGCCACCTGGTTCCAGGTACAAAGATTTGTTCCTGTTGAGGTATCTGGGTATTGAAAATTCAGCCATTGCCTGTTGTAAGAGGCCACCTCCTCCTCCTCCTCCTCCTTCTTCTCCTTCTTTTTTTTTTTTTTTTTTTTTTTTTGGTTTTTTGAGTCAGGGTTTCTCTGTGTAGCCCTGGCTGTCTTGGAACTCACTCTGCAGACCAGGCTGGCCTCGAACTCAGAAATCCACCTGCCTCTGCCTCCCAAGTGCTGGGATTAAAGGCGTGCGCCACCACCGCCCAGCAAGAGGCCTCCTTCTAAGGAACCCTGTGCCACAGAGAGAAGAGAGTGATGGTGGTTGCACCCATTTGACAGCCGGGAAAGTGAGGCTCAAAGATGGACAGTCGGTGGCTCAAGGTTAAGTAGGTGACTCAGGCAGGATTATGTATCAAACCTCCCTGTTTCCAAAACTCTCGCTGTCTTTGCCCCCATCCAGTCACAGCACAAGGAGTGGGAAGTAGAGAAGGCTTCTTCCCTGGGGCATTGAGGCTGGAAGGGATTCGTAAGATGGGCAGAATTGGAAGGGACACTGGCCAGATTGGAGTAGGACCTAGGCAGTGATGACTTGTATTTTGGCTATTTTGTATTCTAGTCCCAAGAACCCTCAAACCCGGAACTGCCCACAAATCCATTAGAAGAAAAGTTAACGGAAGCCTCAACTAGCAGTAAAAAGAAGGAAAAAAGGAAACACGTGGACCACGTAGAAAGCTCATTATTTATAGCCCCTGGGACGGTCCGCTCCTCAGACGACCTTGAAGAAAACCCCTGTGAACACAAGGTCCCTTCCAGGTATGTTACTAAGGTCTTCTCACTTTTGAAACAGAAGCGGGGGCTTGCTCTCTAGGGGTGAGTGAGCACCTTGGATAGACAGTGTACATCAGCAGAGGGGCAAGCAAAGCCCCAGCTGTGGAGATCATCTAAGGACAGACAAGGAAATGTCCATGGGCATGAGGTGTGGTTGGCTAAGCCTACGCAGAGCCTGGTCACTAGTCACAGAACAGGTAGTGGTTACCTGCCAGCTTCTGCTTCCAGCCTCGATCAGGCACAGTAGACCTAGTTAGCACAATGGAATTCTACAGCCCCTCTCCAGTGTAAGCAGGCAGCACTGAGGTGAGCTCATTTATGTGAGGGGGGTCTTAGAGCCTGCTGGCCCCAGGTAAACCGAGCTTCCAGGAGGTTGACACCTGGCTCAAGTTAGGGTTTTACTGCTGTGAACAGACACCATGACCAAGGCAACTCTTAGAAGGACAACATTTAATTGGGGCTGGCTTACCGGTTCAACAGTTCAGTCCATTATCATCAAGGCAGGAAGATGGCAGCATCCAGGCAGGCATGGTGCAGGAGGAGCTGAGAGTTCTACATCTTCATCTGAAGGCTGCTAGCAGAACACTGACTTCCAGGAAGCTAGGATGAGGGTCTTAAAGCCCACACCCACAGTGACACACCTATTCCAACAAGGCCACACCTTCTAATAGTGCCACTCTCTGGGCCAAGCATATACAAACCATCACAAGTACCAATAGATAGGACTATTCTCTGGGTACCTGTCTCCTCTAGATGTTTTTCTGGTCGTGACTTAGTTGGGTTTCCTACATAGCTGTCTACTGGCCTAGGCAGAGAGGCTGGGGAGGCCACAGGACCCACGCACACCACTGGCCTTGGCCTTCTAGCCTCAGTTGGGTTTATACTTTGCTTTATGCTCCTTCAAACTGGAGAGCTGTCCCTCTACATCCAACACTGTCCTCTCCATCACTTCAGCTCAGCCTCTGGCAGAGAGGGTTAGGGGTTAAGGGGGAAGGAGAGGGAAGAAGGGAAGACTCCATCACACCTCCTTCAAGCACGCATCTTGGATTTCCCGTGCATTTTATTTTTTTATTTTTTACTTAATGTGTATGAGTATACTGTCACTCTCTTCAGACACACCAGAAGAGAGCATTATAGCCCATTACAGATGGTTGTGAGCTACCATGCAGTTGCTGGGAATTGAACTCAGGACCTCTGGAAGAGCAGTCAACCACTGAGCCATCTCTCTACCCTTCCCATGGCTTATTTTGGATACATTCTTGTACGGTAGCATGATTCTTTTTTTTTTTTTCTTCATAAAACAGTCGTTTCTTTCTTTTAAGATTTTTGGTAGTTTTGGGGCTTGAACTCACAACTTCATACATGCTAGGCAGGTAAGCTAGGCTACCAGCCAGAGCTTTTAACTTTTTTATTTTGAGGATGCGTCTTACCAAGTTGCCTAGGCTGGCTTTGAACTCACTTCATAGCCAATCAAAGGCAAGGTGTGGAGTTGATTCCATCATTTAGCACGGCCCTGGCTTGGAGGGGGGCATTCCGTTCTTTGGGTATGAAATGCATGATTGACTGTGCTTCCCCTGTCTTCTAGAGGTCAAGAAATGGGTCCTCAGCCCCTGGTAGCTGGGAGAGGGAGGGTCAGGTTCACAACCCTTTAGAAGGTTCATACTGATGATACAATGTACCACACGCCCACCTAAGAGGAAGCCTGCTACAAGGAAAGAGACAGAGAGGTTATTCCCTCCCACCAGGGATGTGCTTCTGAGTTAGGAAATATTACTTACACATAAGGGCAAGAAGGGGGCTCTGCAGCTCCCAGCATTGTACCATGGGGCATCAGGTCACTTTGGCCACTACTGAGCTCAAGGCCCCAGGGTCCCTTTTGACTCTGAGATTACATTTTGTTCATTCCTGTGCCGTGTTCCCAATATAATGTAGCGAAACCTAGATTGAGAGATACTGAGGTTGCCTTTCAGGGACTTTCTGAGAATATGTACTTAGGCCAAGTGCCAGGCTCCTGGAGGCCATGGAGTGAGCTTGCTTGAAGGAAATTGAGATGACACTGTGTCAAGGTGCATGGCACCCACCAGATACCTAGTTCTGCTAGGCTTGCTGCCTAGGCCCCAGGGCCTTTCTGAAGCAAGCGGGTGACCCATTCTCCAGGGGAAGACAACTTCAGTTTCCTAGTAGCGTTGGCAAGCTCCCAGCCAGGAGCCACAGTTGATGGCTCAGGATTCTTCTGCCTCCACCTTGGGGTTGTCAGCTCTGCTCAAAAGACAGGAGTACAATCCATGTTAGCCTCAAAGATTTTGGGCCTAAAATCAGTCTCCTGACGTATGAAAGGAAAAATGGTGGTATCCCCTAGAGCTAGACTGTAATGGCATATCGAGGACCACCAGAGAGGAAGGCCAGCCTCCAGGCCTTGGGCCCAGGCCTGCCTGGGGACTGCAGGTGAACCCTAAAACCTCCAGATGCTTGGATATAAAACCCCAAATCTTGGCCCAAACCCTCAGAGGTTTAGAAATACCTAGCTGCTTTCTATTAAAAAAAACCCTGTGGCCACAGCTGGCTGTGTGTTTCAACAAGACGGACTTGTAAGTGGAAAGTGTCCCTTGGTCTAAAGCCGTGACTATGCTTAACCCAGCTGTGGAAGGCCCCAGACCGAAGTGACTCGGGTGACTGTGACTGGACCAGTCGTGCCTTGGGTGGTGCCCATTCACAACGTGCCTTTGCTTTGCAGGAATAGTCACAGCGACTCCAGCATTTACATTCGGCGACACACTAATAGGTCTTTGGAATTGGTTAGTACGTGAATTTCTTCTTCCCTACGGCCCCTGCTGATCGGTACCTTCCCTTCCCTTTCCCCCTCCCAGCCCTGGGCTTTGAGATTACTGGCCTGCACCAACCTTAACTTTGGGATAGAAGACAGACACACTTGAAATCATGTTAAGCGCGGTCCAGTTGGATGCCCAGTTGGAGCAAGAGAGGGTGTGAATAAAACATTGATTTCAAAGCCCAAAGGACTCTTTGTGAAAACAAACAAACAAACAAACAAACAAAAATCAAATCCAAGACATCCCCCTGTCCCCTAATCCTGGACCCACATCCAGGAAGATCAAAGTCAGAGCAAGGGGACCCGCTCACTAGAGGACTCCCTGTGACATCTGCAAGTGCTGCGAACTGCAGAGGTCCTTACTCCAGATCCAGGCTAGGGGGTGGGTGGGCCTCGTCCCAGTCACCCTTGGGTGGGGAGGTCAGGGGAGGAGGCAGAGATATCTACTGTTTAGCAATTTGATTTTTGAAACTAGATGTCTGCAGTATCGAGAGAAATGGAGAAATGTGGCGTGGTCAGCTTTGTAAGCTTAAAATCACCTTGTTTTCTGTTTCAGAGATTTCATCTTTACTAATTGGGTTACGGGGTTTTGTTTATAAATTTCACTGTAGGACCATTTTAGCTATGTTCAATTGAGGAACGCAGCCGATCTGGATGACAGGAGAAACAGAGTGTTAAACAGGTTGGTGACTTCATTCCATGAGTTTGTGGGATTTACATATATTTATATATATATATTTATATTTTAAAATATGCTTTTATATATTTATATTTTATTACCTATTTATTGTATGTTTATTTTCTCTCTATAAATATTATATATAAATATAAACATACATATATTTTTATATACTTAAATATATTATTTAAAAAATATATGTTTATTTTAATACATATTTATGTGTGTATATGTATGTATGTATATCCTAGCTCACAGGGGCCATTATTTTTCAGCTATGGTTTATTGAGCATGCTGTTAATAATTCGGGGAAAATACCAGAAAAATAGCTATTCCAAATGAAGTGAATGTAAATGAAGGAGGGAAAAGTTAGAGGTTCCTGAATCTGGGCATAGCTCAGAATGTGTATGTGACAAGCTGGGTCTGTGTTCTGAGTCTGTGGCTGTGTCTGAATACTTTAGGGGCAGAAGGCAGTTGCCAGAGGTAGAGCTGTATGCATCCCACCTGACTCTCTATCCCTTCTATCCCCACTGCAGGTACAATTCTCAGAAGCTCACTGAGCTGATTTTACAGTTTTACGGCATCAGAGCAGACATGAAGAGGGAATACAAACATGCCAGGCTGTCTATGAAAGTATTCCTTACCGGTGGAGAACTAAATTGTCTAGTTGATAGTTCTCAAGTTACAGTAGTAAACTGGTCCACTTAGAACCTGAGAGACCGGAACAGAATTTCTCTAGTTCTGAGGCTAACCCTGTTAAAGTCACTTGATCTTATTGTCCCACTTCTGCGGGTTTGCACGGGTTTGGTAGCCTCTGGCCAATGCCTGGGAGCAGGGGCTTTATAGACTTCCACTCTTCTGTGTCCTAAAAACAAATACAAGCAGGATCCCTGCTTCCTTCCCCGGGCCTAAAATGGAAATGCTAATTTCAGTTTTCTGCCAAAGGGAGTTCGAAGCCAGGGAGAGAATGTTTTTAACTTTGATTGGGTAGAACACTGGCAATGAGAACTTGACACGTTCAGGAGTGTTTCCTACCTCCAGTAACAAACAGAGTTTATATTTTTTTTTCTCTGCAAGCTAGGGAAATTGTGCCCTGTGTCTGATATTCAGCCATAAATCACTCCATTGCGGATGTCATAGCCCACCCATATACCCCACGGCCTATGAGATGAAAATGGCCCCGGGCAGCTCATACTTAAGGTTTCTGTGTATCAGTTCCCCCACCCACCCCTTCCTACCTTTCATTTGAGTTTTACCACCACCTATACTGTCCAGCTAGCACCCCGTTCATTACCTGCCAGGCAAAAGCGACCTGTCTCGTTGAACATTCCCTCCCATCACATAAAAGGTAACTCTGACCCAAATCAAAGCTGGCAGTTCTTCTGAAGGCAGCCTGTCAGAGACAAAACTTGGGGGTGACTTGACTTGTTTCTTTCTGGTAGCTTCTTTGAAATTATCAGCTGAACTCCCTTTAGTAACTGAGGCATAGGTGACGGCTGTCCCTGGAGACCTGGTTCAGCTCTATCATAAAGTAATTAATTATGTGGCCTGTGACAACTGCTGCCCCATGACTATCACTGTGGCTGTCTGTGAAATGGCTGGCACAGCTCCTTCTGTTAGGTAGGGGGGGAATGGAGATGGCTGGGGTCTGTGTGCGTGCTCCAAGGCCTGTCCCCCCCCACCTCCCAGAACACACACACACAAATGGGGACCTCCCTGATGTATCATGGGAGCCTCTATCTGCAGGTGGGTGGTGGGGTTGAGGTTTGGGATGGTCCTCCATCATAGGGACCCCGCCCGTAACCATCCTGTCCTTTTCTTTCCCTCTGCAGGACCGGCACCAACTCCTCTGGAGAAGCCATGCCCCTGGGGAGCCAGAGCCCACCCAACGACTCTCTGACGCAGTTTGTACAGCAGCCCGACGTGATATATTTCATTCTCTTCCTCTGGCTCCTGGTTTACTGCCTACTGCTCTTCCCCCAGCTTGATGTCAGCCGGCTCTGAAACACGTGTCTGGAGAATAAAAAGACAGGACCCTGGCCAGGGCGGAGTCTTTCTACTGCATCTTACTGTCTGTTCAGGGTTGAGCCACCTGTGCAGAGATGGAAGACCTCGGAGGGAGCGCAGGCCCTACCCCCCTGTTGCTGTCTGGTTCAGTCTTTGCTTACCTTTCCTCTGATTCTCTAAGACCCGAGAGCATGCTTCCCTCTCAGATTGTGTGCTCCCAGCTCAGGTTTGAGGCTGGATCTGTGGACAGGGTTCCTCCTTATGTGCCTTGTTTGGTCAGATGCGAGTCCTTACTTATATGTACCCCAAACCTGGGTCTTAGCATGTACACATGCAGGTTCCTAAGGTCCTGGAGGAGCTTGAGTTACTTCCTTTTTATCTCAGGGGAGGGTCTGCCTGACTCCGAGAAAGAACGGAGTCCATGGTGGGAAGAAAGGTACTGTTTGCCTCCAAGTGTGACTGTTTGAGTGAAGGGCCTAGTCCTCCATAACCTGCCCCAGCCTGATTATCCGTTGCTGGGGGAGTTAAACAGCACATAACCTGCCCATCCACCAGAAATTACACGTGGACATTCGCAGACTCCAAAAAAGAGGGTGCTCTGATAGGTTTGTTGTGAGCTACTGCCCATTCGTCTTTTGCCTTGGTGTTCTTGGAGAGCTGCGTTTTTAATTCACTTTTTAAAATTGATTGTATTGAGGTACAGCTGTAGTTTGCAACCCATCCCATCAGTAGGACCTCCTATCAGATGAAAGCCAAAAGAGGGTTTGCATGGAAAGCTAGGCTCTGCCTGACTGGGGTAGCCCTGACCCCCCCCCTTCCTCTGCTGTGTTTTGGGTAGGGAGCCTGAACTCCCTGCCAGGCTGCATGAGGTGCCCCCGGGGGGCTGGAAGTGGCCAGGCCAGAATGAGTTCCCACAAATGGTGGCGCTGGGAGGGTTTCTGCAGGTTTCTGGGCTCAGGATGTATGTGTTTTGTGGTCGGCCATTGACAGAGGTCTTGAAAAGGCTTTCTGGAAAGAACCAGGGTGTAGTCTGAGGCAGGCAGCTTACAGAAAGAGAAAGGTTTCTTTCCTCTCCAGTATAGCTGAACTCAGAGAGGCAGAACAGGCTGACCAAGGTCACGCAGCCCACCAGCAACAGACTGGTCACTAGTCGCCAGGACACTTGGCCCCCAGGCAGGAACTATTGCTTTTTCTTTGTAGAAAACTTCCAGCCTGGTACACAAATGTCCTCACTCAAACAAAGCCATCCTTTTTTTAGACCTTTTCTTAACCTCCAAGCTTAGCCTGGGCTCCTTCTAGAATGCTCTTGACAGCTGTAAAGGCTTATGTGTTGGTTACTACTCTTGTTGCTGTGACAAAACAACTGAGAAAAAAACTTAAGAAAGGAGGGGGTTGGGGCCTCACAGCTCCGGGATATAATCCATCATAAAGGAGGAGTCATGAGGTGTCTAGTCATGTTGTATCGGGAGGTGGGGGGTGGGAGGGGAGAGGGAGAGAATGTTAGTTCAGGTTGGGACCCCCAGTCCAGGGGATGGTGCTGCCCACATTCAGGGCAAGCCTCAGAGTCACTTCCAGAGGTGTGTTTCCATGGATACTAAATGCAGTCAAATTGTCAGTGGAGATGGAGCATCATGTATTGTGTTTGACATGAGCTCTGTTCTTAGTCCAGGAGTCCTTCTCCTTAAGCAAGCCAAGGACTCACTGTTTTTTAAAAAGCACAACTCAAATGATTACATAGTACATTTGAGTCGTGACCATCAAAAACCCGGCTTCTCAACCATTTTGATTGGCGTCTGCCTCCACCTCCCCAAAAAAGACTTGAGGCTTTCTAAGGAGAGAGCGGTTGGGAGCTTGGAACACTTCCAGGTTGAAGGCCCGAAGCTCCAAAGAAAGTGAACTACTTAATGAGCTCTCTGGTCCCATTGGAAGTTCAAAAGTACAGATGACAAAGGTTTTACGTGTGATGTTTTATGACCTCGCATACTGCACGGTCTTTGCCCAGATGAGGTACCAAAGAGGAGCTGACCCAGATGTGAATCGTTTATTTTATGGGTCTAGACCTTGTCCGAAAGTCTGTGCATGCTGCCTCTCTCGCCTCCGCTGGCTTAGAACACCCTTTAAAACTTCTACAGGCAAGATGCCCAGGGATCATTTGGCCCAAGCTGGCAGGAAGTTGACTAGTTTAAAGGGAAAGAGTAATCTCACTTGAGTGTAGAGGTATACAGAAGGGAAAGCTGCCGGGCAAGCCATCAGTGGCTTGACATCTTTAAAAAATTAATTTTTAAAGAATGTGTGGTGTGTGTGTGTGTGTGTGTGTGTGTGTGTGTGTGTGTGTGTGTGTGTACGAGTGCAGGGGAGGCCCTAAGAAGGCATCAGATCCCCTCTGTGGGTATGAAGAACTGAATCAGAGTTCACTGTAAGAGCGTCGTGTGCACTTAACTACTGAGTCATGTCTCCAGCTTAGTTAGCATCTGTTAAATTAGAAAGCCCTGTAGGTTTGAAATGAGGACAGCTGCCCCTGGGGCTCACTTGTCAAAGTCCCGTTCAGCTGACTCTTCTACTATTCTCTTCTGTGTCTTTAGAACGCTGTGTTTGCAGGTCACAGCTCAGGGTGGTGTTCTTTCTCCTTCCTTTCAAGTTTTGCCAGCTGCGCCCATGGAACACTTAGCTCCCCGAAATCCTTGCAAGACGTCGTCTGTGTGCTCACATGGTTTTTTGCCCTGCTGTACTGACCATCCCAGCCCTGACTCTCATGCAGGGAACATCTCCTCCACACTAGCATGTGCCAGACAGCAGACAAAGCTCTCTACCAGCTCATGTCTGGAGTTTAGGCAGAATTTCCTCCTAAAAGCCTTGGCTTTCCCTAGCTGTTGATGACAGAGCCCGGGGGCTACTGGTCAGGTGTGACTTTGGAGAGGTGTGCTCTGGCACACTCTCTGACCCAGGCCGGATGTTTCTTCACTGCTGGGCTCAGCCCAGATCCGGCAGGCAATGCCTTAGATGTGAGTTCCCCTCTCACCAGTACCATACAGGGGTTGTAGTTAGATCACATAACCGATGCATCCCTCCTTAGTGTCTTGGGCATGTGGGGAACTGTACTTCTGAGCTAAGAAGCGGGCTGTGGTCAAACATCTTTGCTTGTTGGTATCTCCTTCCTTTCTTCCCTCCTTTCTTCCTCTTCCCTCTATCCGCACCCCCTTCCCCTTCTGTCCACTCTTCACCAACTTCTCGAGAAATGGAGTGTGAGAAATAAATATAAATAGCTTTAGTTTTTTGGTTTTTTTTCATGACCTAAAATATCTGTCTCCTGCCCTACTATGTGGCTGGGCATAGATCCAGAGGTGGACATGGAGTCCTTGCTGCTGCTTCCCAGTGACATACTTAAGATTCCGATGCCATTCCTGCCCCCATGCCTTTAATGTGAGACAAGGGCTCTTCGTATCCCTGGTGACATCTCCAGTCTCCTTTTTCTTGGTGGCCTGACCTGAGGGTTTTCTGTCCTTGCTGTGGTACCTGTGCTGGGTCCTAACGGGAAATTCCTTAAATTCTCTTGCAATTACTTTAGGCCTCCCTGGTTCATCTTCTGATGTCTCTTAAATCCCTCATCTGTCTTTTCTTCCGAGGGGATTTAGTCCATCTTCTCTTTCCAACGTGAGTGTTTTATTTTTTAGCTTCTAAAACTTCCTCCTTGTTCTCTGAGTTTTGCTGCGTAGCCTCTTGTTCTTGGTTCAGGAGTGTGTCTTCTTTGTGGCTGATGCAGGGGTTGGGGGTGTCGCCTGCCCTCAGATGTGCTTTTGGGTCCTCTCAGTTCCATTTTTCTCCACTGGGCTGGGTCTCCATCTCTCAAATTGTGCATAGATCCATCTACTCATGTTTCAAGGTGATGCACCCAGGAGCTGCCAGGATGGATGTTCTGACAACCATCTGCTAAGGTTCTGTCCAGTGTTGCCCAGTAGGCTGGCTTAGCTCTAGGAGCCCGCCATGTCAGAGGTTAAATGTTTCTTTTGGGGCTTATTCCATTTCCTTACAGAGCTTCCTACCACTTCTCTCCCTGGAAAAGAGGGATACCCCCAGGGCCAAGATTAGCCCATGCAATACACTTGTACAATACTAGTAATGGTCCCCCTCTGGGCAGAAGCCACCCACCGTCCATATTTGGTTGGATTGGCAGAGGACAGCTATTTTCTCTATCTCTGAACACAGTCCTCAGCTAAGACAAAGCTTGGGTTTTAACCCCCAAATGCTCCCTTGGCCAGGTGGCTTAGGGCTGAGCACAAACAATAGGATGGGTTAAATACCCCTAAGGACGGTGTTCTGCCCTTGAAGCAGGCAGTCTCAGGAATCACCGTGTGACCATCTGAAGCTGCTCCTGCCACGCTTAGTCTTCTGTCCCCGAGCTGTGCTTCTCTAGTTCTCTATGAATAGGAGGCAAAGCCCGTCATCTGCCTGCATGGGAGGGCAGGAGGCCCAAGAATCAACGCTGTATCTCACCTTAGAGTCACCATCCCAACTCACACGCTTTTCTTGGGTGCCAAAGTGGACGGCTCCTCAGTGCTGCCCCCTGCAGGCACATGGTGGGAGGACCCTTCCCTGCTTTTTTTTTTTTTTTTTTTTTTTTTTTTTTTTTTT